AGTTTTACACCAGCTGAAGTTTCTCAACCGTCTTCAAAGGCAACCCCACATAGAGCACGTTACAGTAATCCAAATGGGATGTAACTAAGGCATGTGTCACTATAGGCAGATCTGACATCTCAAGGAACGGGCACAGCTGGCGCACCAGCTTTAGCTGTGCAAATGCACTCCTGGCCACTGCCAAGACCTGGGCATCCAAGCTTAGGGATGAATCCAGGAGTACACCCAAGCTGAGGACCTGAGTTTTCAGGGGGAGCGTAGCCCCATCCAGCACAGGTAGTATCCCTATTCCCTCATCTGCCTTCCAACTAACCAGGAGGACCTCTGTCTTGTCTGGATTAAGTTTCAGTTTGTTTGCCCTCATCCAGCCCCTTACTGATGCCAAGCACTGGTTTAGAGTCAAGACAGCTACCCTGGACTTAGGTGGGAAGGAGAGATAGAGCTGGGTGTCATCCGCATACTGGTGACACCGAACTCCAAAACTCTGGAAAGTTATATTTCTTCTAGGCATTTGAACTTCTCTGTACCCCAAGCAATAAGCAGCTAGAGAATATGTGGAGAAATAGCTATGACCAATTGCTGTGCGTTTCGATGAAAAGTGGTTAACTGATGAAAAAACTCAGGTTCTGGGATTTTCCCTTGCTTGATTCTGTTTGTGACTGGTAGTGAGTGTAAGTGAGGATCCTGTACACCATCCTGATTGCTGACGTTGCCGTTGTCTACATTCAGGCTGGCTTTTGATATATAAAGCTTGGCATCTTTTTCCCACTTGCAAAATGGACACAATACTAAAAGGCAATGTCAGGCTGTTTCCTGGCCTTTTGAATTATGGACACAGAAACTATCTTTCATTTGTAAACTAGATATGTTTTGAAGGATTGAATTGTTCTCCTTCAATAAGCAAATCCCTAAGTGTAGATTCCATGAGGATCAATACTCAGATCAATAAAAGTTTCATGGTGCTACTGCTATATTCCTTTACTTGGTCAACAAGCTGTCATGGATAATTTCATCTATTATAGCTCATCCCGCAATAATTCACTGTTGGATCTCAATAGCGACTGGAGGGCTAAAGATTTCTCATCTGCTTTGATTGTGAAGCAGCCAATTAATAATGGAAGAAATCAGAGTCATTCACGAAAGCCAAGATGTTGATGTTTATTAACCATTTTTCTTTATTAGACCTCACAGAGGTGTAAACTATACATACAAATACATTAGGAAAGATACCTTCTTACAGTAATGCTTCACATTTTGGACTGGATCCCAAGAGGGCTGCAAACATTTCAGTACATTTCTACAAACCAAAGGTTGTTGTAGCCATTACTTAATACAGTGTAACTGAGCCCCCTCCCCTTTAATTGAAATCAATGAAGATTTAGAAAAAAGAAATAAGCAGTAAAAATCAGACAGTTCTTGAGATCTTTCAGGCCTACCTTGGTAAATGCATTAAAAGAGCTTTAATGGTTTATGGAACAAAGTGAACCAGGTTAGAGAATTTACACAGAATGGGGAACATGACCTAAATGGTTCTGACTTGTGAATTGTTATTTCCACTTTTGGTAGGAATTAGGACCTTCATGGTTTGAAACATCCTGTGTGTCCATTCAAAGCCAGTAAGTGCTAAATGGGGAGAATAATAGGACAAGTGACTATGAAAGTGTTTGTGGTAGGCGTGGGACAAGGAGTTCTGCAACACATTGATGTTACATACATAGTATGAAATATTATTTACTTGTCATCAAGTCATGACAGTTTGCATTTTGAGTAAACACAGGGAAAAATTAAAATGATACACAGCCAAAGATTTACAGCCCAATCTGCAAAGCGTTGTGCTGGTGCATTGCCCATTTGCCTTGGCAGGACGTGCGCCATCAGAGTGCTTTGAGAATTGTAGGTTTAAGATAATGAGAGCTGACATGGTAGACTGTGAGTAAATATTTCTTCTCATCGTGGTTCTTGGTTTGTTGGCTTGTTTACATGAATGGAAGAAGAGGTTTCAACAGGGAGTCTTTAGAAATTCAGGCATGCATTATTTCTGATCCATGATGTTGATCATACCCTTAATCAGAGACGGGGATAGTCTATTTCACTTTGTTTTGGATTGCAGCCCCCGAGCCAGCATATCCACTGAACTGCTAGCCAGGATATTTTGGGAGCTGCAATCCAAAAACTCAAGCCCTTCCCATCTCTGTCTTCAGCCTAAGTAGGCAGGCCAGCCATAATACTGGAAGAAACAAATTAATATTAATCTCAACATTTAGCACTTGGACAGCTAAGTCAAAAAAGAATATAAGCCATGTGTACTGATGACATTCTGTAAGGGCGAGGGTCATTTATCTAGGTATCACCCACTCCTTGGTCCTGTTAGCTTCTAGAAAACATAGAAATGTGCAGAAACTTATTAGCTGGAGGCTGGTGATACTGAAAATTTGTATTCTCTTCAGTTACTTGAGACTCCAGGGTTGTGCTGATAAAAAGCATGTGTGACTCCAAAGTTGCTCCCAGTGCTATTAAAATCCGCCACAATTATTGTTTGCTTGTTTTGAAGCTATAGGTTCTTTCATCACCACAGAATCTTGCTTTAGACTAGCAAAATCTATTTGGAAAAAATATATGTTATAATACACCAGTTTGTTGCTTCGGTTGCTTCATTATTCTCCTTGGGTCACAATGGGCTTTCATCATTGGACTTGGTTAGGAATGCATCAGAGTCACGCCTCAGAGTAAAAGTTGTTCTCATATACTGTATAGTGTAAGGAAACTTGCCCATATGTAAGTTTGTTGCAGGCAAGTTCCTTGTAAGGCTCCAGTCCTCAATGGGGCTTGTGCCGGCGGAGCGCTTTGGGGATTGGGCTGCAAGTGGAAATAAACCTAAATTACAACACAGTTTTGGTAGATGGTTTACAACAGGCATTAAAGCTATCAGATGGATTACAAGAAAATATCAGCAATAATTAAGGCGCGCAAAATCAGCTACATGCACAGATTCTCCAACCCAGTACACAACCAATGCTAACACAAATATTCAAAGTTGCATATTGGCTGTGTACTGCCAGATTCCACCTCCTAAATTTCATTTTGCAATAGCAAAGAGATGTTTATAAATTAAGTGCAGTGGAACACTGCATTTTTTTTCTTTGCAAGTAAAACAGCAACACAGACTGTAGTCCATGGACCAACTGTGTGGGGCCACCCTAGCCATTTATGATTAATGGGGTTCAAATGAAGCTTTTCACCACCGCTGTATATATGTGTTTTGGGTTACATCATGGCCAAAGGCACCCCTGTTTCTTTCTGTGACTTAGGGGAATGTTCTATGACTTGTAGTGCATTTAGAGTCACAGAAGAAAATGGAGGCCATTTCTGCACATGCAAGGCAGCAGATCACTAAAGCATTATTTTCAGCGGAATATATGAATGTAATCTGAAGTCAGACATCCAGCTTCATATATGATCATTATGTTCTGTGGCTTGGACATCATATTGCTGCGTCAAGCACTGAAATAATTTGCCAGTGATATCAAGTTTGATTTGGTCCTGATCTTACTACATTTGAGTTTGAGCTGGCTGACTCCTAATGCTATAAGCAAAGGTAACCGAACTCCTAAAATGTGTTGTGGATTATCACGAGGCCTCCTCAGACATCATTATTTCTTTGTAAAGACATATAGCTAAACATGTAAATAAACACATGTTTGCAGACCCAAGTTGTAAGTTTTCCAGGAGTGGTTATGGCGCCTGGTCGTGTAAATGCCTTTTAGGAATCAATGTTTGCAGCCATGTAGTATGAGGAAAGTCTGCTTTTTATTAAAATGGAAAACCTTTGAACTGATATTATTTCCCTTTCCTAAGGAAAGTAGAATGATTTATGTATTCATGCCAAGCATATGTTGGCATACATGCAAATCAAGTATGATGTACATCCTTACCTTTTAGAGCACTTATCAACAAAAGTGTCCATTTAGTAACTGTTAAAAAATTAGCAGACTTGCTCAGTCGAACAAAAATATTGTTCAAGACCAGATAAAAGGAGGATGTGTCATCATTTTCAGTTAGGAAAGTTATCAACCTACATTTTATACTTAAATACAGTGATTTCCCTTTTTGCTTCTTCAATTGTGTCTGTTTGTTTTGGGTAGTTTCCAGACCTATTAGGCGTTAGATAGTCTGAGCATTTAGATTTAAGATTATTGGCAACCAATCAACAGAAAATAATGAGGCTTGGATATCTGGAAGGGCCATTGATACTGGCTGAACTGAGATGTGAAAGTAAGATTGCAACCTTCGACCCTAATATTAGGCACAATTGTAGCAGCAAGTAGATAAGCAATGACTGCTGTAATATATTTGGGCCCAATTAAGGTGCTTGAATAGCTCAGTGGTTTAGGTACAGTTGGGAGTTCACTTCCCTACTGTGCATGCCAGAAGAGCCAGCCTGTGTGGCCTTGGGCAAGCTGCACAATACTAAGGCATCCCCTGAAGAAGGGAATAGTAAAACACTTTTGAATACTTCCTACTTAGAAAACCCTGAAAAGGGTCACCATAAGTCAGAATTGACTTGATGACACATGATGATGATTAACTCAGGAAATCATGTTAGTACTACAGGATGCTAGGCAATACTCAAATCATTTGTCCATTTGCACAGCATCTCAGAATCAATCACATAGGTCACCTTGGGCCTTAATAGTTGAGAGGTAAATTCATTTGTTATAATAGGACTGCATCTGAAAAGCAATACATGTTTTCCTCATTGCTGCCAAAAGGAAATCACTGCAGTAAAGAATCCAGATATTGCCTTAATAGTGTGCCTTCCCTCACAAGCATTGAAGTATGAGTAGCTAATCTCCATTATATCTACATTCCCTATACCAGTGGTTCCCAAACTTCATATCCCAGATGTTCTTGAATGACAATTACTGGAAGTAATGTCTATTGGCTTTGCTGCCTAGGGCTTCTTTGAGTCATAGCCCAATAATATTTAGGAGCCAGTACTCAACACCATGAGTGGGAAAGCTGAGGACTTCCAGAAATTCACATCCTATCAGCCTTAGCTAGCATAGCCATTGATTAGTGCTGCTAGGAAGCATGGTTCAGTATCATATGAAGGACCACAGGTTCCTCATCCTTCTTTCACATGTTGGAATGGAATCTGAGAATAACTTTGCAGTAGGGCAATAGCATGCTTTAAAATATGTACTGGAGTAGACCTGTTCTGCCCATGCTAAAGAGCAGGATCGTGCACAGCTGCTTTGGAATGGGGGATAATAATCAAGAAAACCAATGGAAATACATTTGAAAGAATAGGGATTTTGTCTTATATTTTAAAAATTACATATTTTAATTGCATTTCTAATTGTAGCAAGGCTACAGGCATCATCCAGTAGATGGCCATGACAGTAGAAAAAAAATCAAAATAACTAAGGAGTGCTGTTAAAGGGAAAATATATTTGTGAGCATGGGTTGTGTTTTCTTGGCAAATGTAAGGCTCTGTTGATGCATTCCAATGAAATTAATGCAAGATCAGTTTGCCCTGCTGAAAATAAATAGCTCAAGAGTTTGTGTCTGAGAGGCAGAGATCTTCTGGCAATATTGCAGGTTAATTACTGCAGATATTGAAGGGAGGGTAGAGGTGCCAAAAATATGCACCTTTAATGAAACCAGTATGGGGCTGGGGATAGGTATTGTAGTTTTCTCCAGTGGCTTGTAAGTAGCATGACAGAGATACCCCATGCCAATTTCCTCTGTCCCAAAATTTGTTTTAGTTTTGGTTTCTCTTCCTCATGGCCACAATCCCCAGTGGGTCCAAGGGATGGAAAATAGACCTTCAAAGCCTGCCCAAACCAGCAACTTGGTCTCTGTCTGAAGTAGATACATGTTTTATGCCGCACAGACACAAGAATAGTAAAATTATAAAGGTTTATACAAGAGAGGAGCCAGTGATAGAGCACATGCTTTGCATGCAGCCATTTCCAGAATTTAATACTTGGTATTTCTTGTCAAAAATCTCTTGTTGCAGGTGACAGGAAAGACCGCTCTGAGTTATGACTAGCAGATTGAGTGCCTAGGGCTTCATTGGTGTATGGGTTAAGCTTGGCTCCTGTGTGATTAGCATGCAAGGAGAAAGGACAGGGAACAGGAAAGAAAGTGTGGGTTTGAATGCATGACAGCCCTATTAGTTCTTTGCTAAGCCTGTCTGTCCCCCCCCTTTTTTTCTGCCTGTGGAAGAGCAGCTCTAGATGGTACCTATGCTTAGGGCAAGTGGGTTTGTGCCTTTCTAGCAGCAGTTTTCTGTACTCTCTAAATCCTGGTACCCCAGATCAAAGCTCTTGCTACCCTGTACTACTTACAGCTCTGTCTCTCTCCTCCCAAGACTCTACAGAACATATTCAGAGTAGACAGTATCAGGATTGTACGCATCAAGTCCATATACACATAATGTATATACATTTTAAATCCACAGAGTGAAATCTTGTATTTAGTCACGATTAAACCCATTGAATCAGTGGGGATTTGGTGAGTCAACTCCTCCGTAAATTCCATTGATTCAATTGGCCTTTTTAAGTTGTAACTTACTACTGGATTTTACCCTATATCCACAAATTTGGTAGCAGCATTAATTAATGGTGTACTCACATCCTTCTCTCTCTTCCAAATATCGATTGGGAAGAAATGAAGAAAAGACTCCAAGAAACGTGTTCAGAATTTGCAAACTAACCACTTTGCAAATTGGCAATATTTTATTTTTAAAATCTGGTTGATTAAAGACCATTGTGTCGTAATAAGTAGCTCTTTATTTCCTGGGGGGGCTATTCTGAGAAGGATGTAAGGGATGATGGACCAGCTCAGTATGTCTTTGAACCATGCTTGGCCCAGAAGCCTGTAACTGCAGAGCCCTGTCATAGTGGGGCGGAGAAGAATGAGTAATGATTATATCATTGTGCCACCAAAGCTATGAAAAATGATTAGCCCTAATCTAGGTAAAGTTACCTGTGACTGAGACTGTACTCTTCTATTTCCTTACTACAAGTAAATTCTGTTGAATTCAACAAGTTAGATCAGTAGTTCTCAGCCTTGAGTCCCCAGATGTTCTTGGACTAAATATCCAAGAAGTCTTCACCACTAGCTGTGCTGGCCAGGATTTCTGGGAGATACAGTCCAAGAACATCTGGGGACCCAAGGTTGGGAACTACTGGATTAGATGGACATTTATATAATCACAGTGTTAATCACACCAAGTGAATATGTCTTCAGTTTTGACTATTGTGGTCAAAGTCACAATCAACTAGACCTAAGTTAGAATGATTATCTGTACCATGTTTCTCAGGAAATGAAAACATTGGTGAATTTTGTCTTATTGAATGGTATCTCTGTACTGTATATGTAGTTAAGTTTCACAATTCTTAAAATCTTCATGTACAAGTCAAACAGAAAAACAAAAAAATTGTATGTAAGATACTGTGTTTTTTTGTGAGAAATGATAGTCTTTGTAGGATACTGTAATATTTTGATAAGCAAAAAGGTCTATAGCAGGATTAAAAATGAGTACAGGTTTGCAATTAGAATGTTTCTGTTTCATGAACAGGAATTTAATGTACATTATTTACCAAATGTTACTTCTATAATCTGAAGTAAATGGCTTGGGAGAAAAATTTCTGACATTAAATAGCACAGAAAAAGCCAGAAATAAAAATGCTAACCCTGCCCTCCCTTTAAAAATAATCACCACATTAACTATAGAGACCATTTGACACAATAACAATGAAAATCTGTTTGGATGAACTTTAACATATATGCCATATTTGTCTGAATAGAAGTGGGATTTTTTAAAAGAGGAATCAGTGGTGTATACTTGGTCTATAATAAATTAGTACAATTCATTTCCAGACTAAAATTGCTTTTGAAACACATTAAATATACCGATTATGCTTCAATCAAAACATTTACCTCTCATCTCTAAATTCAAATTATCTCTAATTTGGTGGAATTCTCTAATTCCCAATCTCTAATTGGGTTAATTTTTTCCCCAAAATATTAGATATGTCATTTTTGTTCTTGAAAAGCGTATAACTTTTTAAAACTCATACATACAGACTCAACACATGCATGCAGATAAACTATCTCTGCTTCACAAGATGTTAGCCATACATTTTCAACTTTTCCTCAAAACCTCAAATTGTGCCCCTCCCACATTATCCTTATTTAAAATACCTGATGCTTTATAAAATGAGAAGTTTCTGTTTGGATATTTGTCGCTGTGACTTGTTTTAGAACCATTCTCTCCACAACAGTGTTGGCTAATGGTGGTAAGCGTACCTTGGGGCTTCCAGTTAATTAGTCTGAGACAGTTTTGCCTTCACCCAGCTAAGGAGAGCTACACACGTAGGCGTGTTCCATGTGTACACTTACCTGGGAGTAAGCAACTGAACTCAGCAGGGCATACTTTTAGGTAAGATAATGCATAGCATGATACTATGAATTGTGGATTCCCATTTATCTCCACTGCATTGCTTCTCAGGTGAATATTTACTTATAAATGCATACCCCCATCCACATTCAAGTGCAGCTAATCACCTTACATACCTTTTAAAGTGCATATAGAATTGGATTGGTGCGCTGATCATATTGAGTTAGGAGCTAACCTGCTTTGGGATATATTTATACATGAACCTAATATTGCTCTCTCTACATTTTCATTTACAAAATTCACAATGGCATACAGATGGCACAGATAAGACTCAGGGTTCCCTTTTGTTATCACATGTGAAGACAGAACCCCCCCGATATTGTATAGACTGCAGTTCCGAACATTCCTCACTATTGGCTATGCAGCCCAAGCCCAATGGGAGTTGCAGTCCAACAACACCTAGAGGACAGTGTTTTGCTCAGATCTTAATAGGACAGGGAAGGGCAAAGTATGGTTTGGGGGTGCATGCAGTCTCCCCTTTTTTAACCTCCTAGTCCACTCCTGGCCCATTTCAATCATTTCAAATGAAGTGATTGAGCTCCTGCAGGCCCTGTTCAACACCTTTTCAAAACTGGAAATGGACTTTAGCCCCTTCTAGTTTCATATTTTTGCATTTATTGACATTTTGGTTGGAGAAAATTAGCTGCCAGTTGCATCGAAATTGCCCACTCTTGCTCGAGGATGCTGCCAATGGTGACAATTTGCTTTCTGAATTAGGAATTTTGCCAATATTACCATATTAATATTTACATTTTCATAAAGTTGGTGTCATACCACCCAGTTCTTATTTTAATGCATTTAGACCTCTTGATTGCTGGAGCCTTGTACTAGGCTCCAAAGTTTCAAGTATATGTCCTGTCATAAGTGCAGGATTACCTCTTGCATTTAACCAAATGGGAATTCTGAATTATGTACTGGAATATCTATCTGTACATGGAGCTTCTGGTTTGGTTTATTAGTCTAATCTACTAAATAAACATTGTTGCAGGGCAACTTCTGTTCATTCCATTGGGGCTGGAGCAACATCACTGCATGCTGAAATAAATGGAAATGGTACTGTGGTAGGTCTTGTCTTTTAGCTCCTTGTAATTATTTTGATAATTTGATTTTCTTTGGGGTAGGGGGAATTTGTGAATATCTCCCAGTTTTGCAGATGTGTCTTACGTTTTTTATTACACAAGTTGAAAGGTTATGGCTACACATACTTCTGTTTTAAAAAGCAAAGTCTAGATACTTGTCATTTTCTTGCCTTAAAAATACATATATGCTTTCTTCTATAGATTTTTTTTAAGTCAAGTACTTTCTTAAACAAAACAATAGCACCACTTTGGTGTTGATGACCAAATCAGTAAAAGGTAAAGCAAAAACTCGCTACATAATATTTATTTTCCGATCCTTCATTTGCTCTGAAATTGGAGGTGCCCTGAATACAGCAGAAGACTTCATATGTATATACATTCATAGGTTCCAGCCATCATCCAAAGATATGTACAAATTCTTGCTGGGGATCAATAAAATGTATGACCATGCAGTGAGCCAACCCAAAGCCTTGGCACCATTTGAGTTTACTCAACTTTGAAGTCTAGCTCATGGCATGCAGTGTGATCCTATGCATACTTTGAAAATAAGCCCTACTGGGTCCTATTGGTCTTGATTTCTTCTATATCTGAATGGGATGACAGCTGTACAGTGCAATATGGATAGGGTTACAGCTGTACAGTGCATGTGCAATCAGAAGTAAGTCCCAGTGCATTCATTGAGATTTATTCCCAAGAAAATATATTTGGAATTGCAATCGTAAACACATTTGGGCAAACAGAAGCCAATTGAAGATTGTAAGGCTAACTTGTATTGTAGTCTTATTAGCAATAATTTTCCCCCCTTTGTTTAGGATCATGCAGTTGTCAGACATCTGGTCAGCACCATTTTTGATTGCTGACAAAAGTTGCCATGTGTCAAGAAATCCTCTGTATACCAGAAAAATAGCATGTTCGGAAGAGCAAGCCATCAACTTCAGTGCCATGACACTAATCATGATTTGTTTTGCTGCATGGTGAATATTCCAATCCTGTTTAGATTTTAACTCTTAATACTTCATTTTAATCTTTTTCATTTTAATTGATTAGATTTTTTTTTTTTAAAAAAAACACCTTTAATCTTTGGCTTTGTTCCCACTGCACTCTTAAAGTGTATTATTTTGCTTGTACCTCTTACAGTTTTGGCCAGACCCTTTCACAAAACAAACTACAAAATAGCACCATTGTATTATGAAACAATTGTACATAACTGTTGATTATATGTGTATTATTGATATGCTAAATGTCTACATGCTGCACTATATGGAGGAAAAAAACAGTTTCCTTACATTGTTGCAAAATAACTTGTTACCTGAAAGAAGGAAGGATTTATGAGAGTCTATGAGAGTGCTGACTCAGGTGACACTGAGAAATAATCCTATTATTCATGTTGCATCTATTTATATCTCTGTGTGTTATAGGACGGAAGGAGGAGAAATCTGATCGTTAGATTTGTTATCCTGATACAGCAATTTATTGCAGCTCTGGGGATCACCCCATGCCCACATGGAGCTCTAGTATAATGCAGCCTGTGCCATTAATTTCATGGCTAAGGGCAGCACTGTACGCAAAAATAGATGTCATGGGTATAGCAGCTTTCTCTATGAAGTAAATGATTCCTTCTAGACGTGTGAGAGCTCCCTATGTGCATACTAAAAGCATGTATGGATCCTTGATTAAAATGAATACATTGGAAATCATGTGCTGTCAAAATGGGTGAAATTAATGGGTTACTTTACTGCTGCTGTTACTGAGAATATCAATCTGTGCAAATATGGATGGGGCAAACAAACAATGTTATCAGACACTGCAAGACAAGCTGTCTGTTGCTTGTATGGAAGTGCAAATATTTTAAAAACCCACTTAGATAAGGCTGGTGAATGACTCCAACAGCAGGGTTCATTTAGTGCAATTTGATCCATCAAAGGCCTGTACATTTGCTGGCTTTCGAGGGGTGCAGAATTTCTAAAAATTTTGTGTGTATGTGTGCATATTGTGGACACGATGTTTTGTGACAATGGACAATTAAAATAGCAGTCTACCAATCTCAGAACCATTTGAGCACTGAGAAGGTTTCTACTGGAATGTTTACTTGCATTATTCATTGGGAGAATGCCCATTAGTGAAGATTTCATCAAGCTTATTGAACTCTAACATTTTGTCCAATGTTTGACAATTTATTTACAGCAAAGTATCCTGCAGATGGCACGATCAATCTTCACTCTTACGGATGGTATTTTCTTACATTCTGTAGTTCCTGTTTCCTGTGTTTCCTCTACTTGTGTTCTTCAAATGCACTTCCTAAAAATGAAAGAAAACAACTTATTATAAGGAACATTATCAGTCCTTTGCAATCCTCATCTTATTCATCTTTTATATATATTATTTATCCCTTATATTTTAGTTAGTGGTACTTTAAAACTGTCTGGCTAAACACACGCACGCACGCACGCACGCACGCACGCACATACATACATACATACATACATACATACATACATACATACATACATACATACATACATAAATACATACATTTTCTCCAAGTCAACCAGCTGAATCCACCCCCCCTCCAACCCAACAAAACGACTCACTGTAACTACACATATATTTCAATGTATTCTGGGCTGTTTGGGGTTTAATTACCCTCCAACCCAACAAAATGACTCAATCTAACTACACATACATTTCAATGTATTCTGGGCTGTTTGGGGTTTAATTACATCATATAACAATTTTCCCCAAAGGTGGTTTGTACTACCACAAACCTGAGACTTATGGATGGTGAGTAGCACTCATTCATGAAGTCGGCAAATAGAGGATCTGAAGACTGTTAAAAATAAACCTTTTGCTTATGGATGGTGAGTAACACTCATTCATGAAGTCGGCAAATAGAGGAAGTGATTCTCATTATGCCTTTGTCTAAATCCCAGTAACCCCTATGACATGTGAAGGGAGAGTGGTTTTGAAGGTGGGAATGGTCTCAAGAGATAAAAGCAACCGGATGGCATCATCCTTGCTGGAGGAAACTCCTCTCGAGCACAACACAAGGGCAATGCCAGCCAGTTCTTTTTAACTGTCAAGTCAGCTGGTTGGCTTGGGATGGGCGGGAATGCGCCTGCACGCACATGCTGCACCCTGTATCCTACCATGGGGCAAACCGGGATGGGCGTGAAGCTCTTTGGAGAGATGAAACAGGGTGGGGGAATGAGCTGGGTGGGTCAAGGGAAGGGATGACTTTAACCATGCCCTTCTGGTCTGGCTGTCTGGATTAGAGGGTGCAATATTTGCCTTTCCCTGGGTGCTGGCAACCCACACTACGCCACTGCCCCCACCCAATTCCCTTTGTGTCTTTATGTTGTAGTGTCCTGTTTCTGATTCCAGGAAGCTCAGGGTGGTGATGATAGGAAAGCCACAGCAGCTGCCTCTGCCTGCACATTTGATAAGCTGTACAAGGAAAAAGGGGAGCTGGTCTCTGAATGGTCGTTTCTTTCTTCCCTCCCTAAGGATTCCTGCCTCCCCTCCCCAAGTCATAATTTGGAACATATGAATGTGTGTGCACAAATACTCAGGGGGGAAGTGGTGCACACATGGAAAGTGTGTCTCTGTGTTTGTGTGTGTGTAGGTCTCTTAGAGGGACCCTGGATGTCTGAATTTGTGATTACACTACTGCTCTCGAGATGTGTTAGATTACAACTTCCATCATGCCCAGTCAGCATGAATGATTATAAATATCTGAAGAAGTCTGCTCCAACTACAGCCCTTGGGGGCTAAAATGGATGGGCATGTGAAGGTGCCTGCATTGGTGCTCTCCAAACCTGCCTTATTTCTGCTTTTACAATGTTATGCAGCAGCAAGAGCTGGAAAGGGCTTTTTTTTCAGTTGAATGAGACTAGATTTCTGAACATAATCAGGAAACCTGATAAGAACAGGGTTACCCACTTCACAGAGGTCTTGTTCGATCCAATGCCATGTGATTAGAAGTCCACTTCAAACTTTCCTGTTCACTGGGGCATGCTGGGGACAAGGATTATAATCTGAACCCGTCCTCCACCAACCCCCCCTACATATACTGGCTGAAAACAAAATAGGACTTCCAGAAATAATGTCTCCATGTCTCATCATATTGGACCATCAGAACATTGTTGGGGCTTTAATATCTTAACAGCCACCTTCTTTATTATGATTTGTTGCTGGCTCATTCACGACTTGCATTTGGGCAAGTCCCCTATCAAAACACTAGCCACTGACTAAAAAAAAAGTGGGGGAGACTTTCCTACTCAAGTTCTCTCACTTGGCCTGCTCAAACTGAGTTCTTCTTGGCTCCACCTTTAAAGAAGCAGAACATGACAGATACAACAAGTTATACAATGGTTAGGAAAGCTGTTCTTGCTGAACTTTCTTCTGGGCAACAATAACTGCTCCTCAGGCTGACCATCTTTGCTTTTTCATTCTAATTCTCTTAAGCAAGAATTGGCAAAAGGCAACAAAGCAAGTTGATAAAAATCAAACTGGTCCTGTTATCGCTTGCGTGACCCACTTTGGCTGGGGCATCAATAAAGCCATGAAACAACCCTTCCAAAGGTTCTTTTGTATGTGAATTCACAGGAGAATAGATACATCAAGAGTGCATCTATGGACTGATACATCAAGAGTGCATCTATGGATAGATACATCAAGAGTGTATCTATAAAGAATGGATTATGAATGAACAATCTTTGGGCTCCTGACTGGAGCAAGAGAGTGTCTCGCTTCAAATTTTGAGCTGAGCAGCACCTTGAAACTATGAATTGCCACCGGCTTTGTGGCAACTCTGGGACAATGCCAGAATTCCTCAATCCAATGTATTAATAGATTGGAAGTGATCACATTCTGGCTACCTTTTGTGCTTTAGGCATATCAGTGTGGCGCTGAGCACGTACAGATCGTGCAGATTTAGGTGGCTTGACCGGAGCACAGTACATCTCCAGCCGTCTCAGATCACAGCTCTGGAAACAGCATTCATCCACTATTCCTTTGTTAGGAGGTGGTCGTCGATTGCCTCCATAGCCAGCTGGTTTACCTAAAAGTGACAAAAATCAATCATTGTTAGAAGCAGTAGCAACATCCTAAAGATTATAGGCACCCAATAGTGGGTGGGTCATATAGAGTATGAGGTATAGAATAAGTTGTGCTGTAATGTTGTGGTGGGTTTTCCGAGCTGTTTGGCCGTGTTCTTAAGGTTTTTCTTCCTAACATTTCTCCCGTCTCTGTGGCCGGCATCTTCAGAGGACAGGAGTCAGAACTCTGTCTGTGCTCTGTGCTGTAATGTCTTTGACTGGATCAAGTAATCATTAAATGTATGGCTCACCAAAAAATCCCTCAGTCTTTGAAGGTATGATTAATATGGCAGCCCTATGTCCTACTGTACAAGAGACACTCCTATATTTGAGAAGCTGTCAGTCAGAGGACAATCTCACACTGTCCAAGCCTT